AGTGAGGGGAAATTGCCGACGAGAAACCTGTGCCACTTTGTATCTTCCAACAGTAAATCGTACTTCTTCTTGATGTATTGGTACAGCTTTGGAATGTGGAGGAATTACTGTTTTAAAAGTATCCCTGGCATTGGAACCAATAGTTGGGTCATCCATTTCAAGCAATACAAATACTGGGATGTAGTTTGATGAATTTTCTGGAGGTGGTGGATAAAAACCAACAATAGTGCCTTGAGCTCCATTTACCAGGCCATCTGATGTATCAATATTTTTGGTTATCATTACACGAGCATTTTTTGATAACTGAATATACTGACGCAAACCTCCAGTGCGATTTGGATTATCTGGCATCTGAACTTGGAATTGACCAGTATGATGCTCTGTGTTCATGTCCTGAGCTTTAATGGTGTATACAGGATAATCAGTTGCAGCAAGATGGTTTTGATTGTGTTGGTCTACTTTTTTTATTTGTTGTGTAAACATGTAGAGCATTTGCAGGATATTGTGGGTCATTTGGTGAAACTTGTCTAGTCCTTAGGAGTTCAATATCATCTTTGTTTTGTATGTTAGTTCTGATTCGATTTAAGAGCTCTGCAAATTCTACGTCATCTCTCTGTCGCATAATCTTGGAAAGTGTTGCTATATGAAAATGTTGCCATAGAGATCCATACAATCGCATCTTAGGGCTCTTCGGCAATGCAAACACTTGACTTTGACCAACAGGTGGGAGTTGGTAAAGGTCACCAAAAACTATAACTAATACACCCCCAAAGAGACTGTCTGATTTTGGTTTTCCAATAATCTCTGTTAAACGATTATGTACAGTCACTAGACCTTCACATCCCAACATTGATACTTCATCGATGATGATGCATTTAAGATTAGCGAACTTTACTCGTAGGGATGAGAGAGTTTTGTGGGAACAAGAGTCTAATCCTGGCATTATACTAAAGGCTGAGTGAACAGTTTGTCCATGAATATTCCTTGCTGCAGTTCCAGTAGGTGCTGTTAAGAGACATACTATTTCTTCTGGATTATCCACTTGTGATCTCAACAGTTTAGTGATCATTTGGTACAATGCTTTGATTAAGTGGCTTTTACCAGATCCGGCTCCTCCTGTGATGAATGTCAGTATCTGATCTGGTTCTTTTCCTGTTGATACACATGTCAACTTTTGGAAACACCACTCATAAATTTTATTGAAAATGAATCGCTGTTCTACATTGAGAGATCTTATAAATGGTAGATATTCTGTGTCTGGCATTATTGACTCTTGACGCTCTGATGTTATAGGAAGTTGTGACTTAAAGGCTTCATAATGTTAAGATTCAGGATGGTTAGCTGGATCAAAAATTGCATATTCTTCAGCAGGTGTGGATCCCTCCTCTTGTTGCATATGCCTCTGATGTTCAATTTCTCCTGCTATTTGGGCCCATGCATCCTCAGGTGGACCATTTTCTTCAAGCTGTTCATATGCCATCTCAATGACTTCTGCATGTTTCTCAAATTTGGTTTTGTTGCTAAGCACTACTTTGTTTTTCTTTCTGAATGTAGTGTTGTAAGAGCCATCATCATCCAAGAGCTGTTTCTCTTTTCTGTACGGAACATACAACATTAGTTGGGAATGGAAGTATTTTTCTGGATTGTGATCTTTTGAATAATGATGTGTCCTTATGACAGCATTTTTTTTCCGTTTTGTGATGTATCCTTTATTGTCCTGTAACTTAAGAACAATTGTGGGTTGGTCATCATTGTCAAGAATATCAACATCATCAGACTCTTCATTGTCCTTAGGCTTCTTGTAATGTAGTCTATATGACGAGATAAAATCTGCTAAGCATATATTCTCTAGTTCTTTTGGTCTATATATATATCTATCTACCATACCCTCCATGTAAATATCCTCATCTTCATCATCAAGATGTTGTATAATATTCATCGGCTTAAGCATTCGAACTCGTTCTTCAGACACATCTGTTGGAACATATATAACTTCTCTGGTGGACCTTTTCAAAGGCAGTGACAAAATACGATATGCTGCTTCTTGTGCAGACACTTCTCGGGAACTGAGAAACTTGCTGCCAACTTTTTTAAGTTGTGAACGAAGATCCATATTAGCTGCTTGTTTGGATGCTGCTGTAAGCAGCTCACCCAATTCATGTTCAGGTTTTGTCATGTATGATGCAATATACATCACACAAGCATAGGGGTCAGTGATGTACTGAAGGTCAGTGTTAGCCTGCCAAGCTCTGAGAATATTTGGATTGTAGTTGTTTATGTACACATCCTTTGGTTCCCTTTTGTGGACAACTCCGTTTGTGGACTTGAAATGTTGCAGAGCATACATGTAGTTATTATATGGAATATTGGCTAAAGTCAAGACCTCTTTCAAAGTTAAACCAGCCACGTCTTCATTTGTGATGGTATCAAACACGGTATGCAATATTTCAGTTGGCTTGATATTCTCTCTAATTTCTCCCTGGGAGCTAATTCTACAAATAACAGTTGCATCTGATGGAGGTCTTGGATAATGAAACCTACATTTTTTTCCTGTTTTACGACACGTGTGTGAATGGACATGTCTTTGCAAAGTATTAACCAAGGAATATAGCTCTTTATCCTCATCTTCCTCAGGAAGATTACAAGAGATGTATGAATCTATGAAATTAGTAATAACATGTTCCTCAGCTGATTCAAAGTCTGGAGCATCTGATGACCATAACACCATATGGATGTGAGGGGAGCCCCTCTGCTGGAACTCCACTCTGTAGTAGAAATCGGTTATGTTCCCAAGGACTTCACCTTTAATTATTAGCCTGATGAATTGCTGCACTCTGTAGTCAAATTGACGAGCTGCTGTGATTGGATTTTTTCGAATCCAAGAGCATCTCTCCTCCCAAGTCAAAGCCTCAACATCTTCATTTGTTAGTTTAACCTTGAATTGATCTGCTATTATACAGATGGTTTCAGGCCAGCGTAGATCTGCTGCTGATAAAGTGAGGAACCATGTAAATGGTCCTAACTGTTTAATCATCCCCAGTAAATCATACAGAATTTTTTTACAGTATGCTGGTGATCCACGTATAGTTTGGAGAATTGGTAGCCTTTGTCTGTCTGAATCAGCTGTTTTCGGTATTCATCATTCTTAACTTGTCCAGCAGTGACAGCAGTAGAGGACTGATTAGTTGCCTTTCTAAGTGCAATGTTTATGCTATCAGACACTTGTTTGAAATCTGTTAAAAACTGAGCATAAAAAAGGTATTCAACATTTGTTGCATATCTATTGTCTTTGTTGCACAATCTGGTCATGAAGTATTTTCTGAGTGTGAGTTTATTGTTTCTTTCAACATCAAAACCAAATTCTCCAGTCGGAAAAAGATGTGGAAATGTTAGCACCTGTAATGAAAAAGTTGGAGTATTTATTCATGAATGAAAATTGTTCTATTTTTATCTTTTAATCTACTATTCCCATGCTGTAATGTATTATGTTTCATTTGGTTGCTAATGCTTTGTTTCTAATGCTATTAATCAGAGGTTACTGCTTGAACCACATGTTTATTTATTTACACTGTAACTATGTATCCTATCTTTAGCACATACCTCATTGTTCTGGTCTTGTAAAATCTGGGTTGGAAGTCTTCCTTCGCCAGGTGCAATACTGAAGATTTTGTTACCAGAGGCAGAAGCAGCAATGTTTTCAGGTTGTAAGCATGAATCATATGTCAGTCCTCTAAGCTCACTTTCATCACTTTCTTCATTTGATTCATCAACTTCATTAGAATTTAATACAGTGCTGTGCTCAGAAGATAATGTTAATGACTCTTGCCCATTATCATGCATTGCTTCTTCTGTAGAATGATACTGCAGAGCAAAAAGACAGTTATTGTTGGAGTAGTTCATACATATAACATTTAACATATTTTTATGATTTTTGTTTAAAGAACAACTAATAGAACTGAAATTGAGTTGTTTGGGTTTAGTATTTTGCATGTATGTCTACCTCATGTAATTTTTACATGTATGATATACACTATAATTTTATTTAAAATTTATTGAACTTAAAACATTTTGAAACATGTGTCCTAGTTAAGATTTTTTTTTTTTGATGTTTACTAACCTGATCTTGGTCTTGAAAAGTCTGAGTTGGGTTTTTTTCATGTTGAAGGATGGTATGGCTAACCTGTTGTCTAACATCTGTAAAGATATTAATATCGTTTTGTTCTTCGTTGTTATTATGATCTGCACCATTCTCCAGTTTGTCCTCTGATCTTTCTTCCAAGTTATCTTGTGTTGCAGTTAATGCTTGCCATAATTCCTCATTGTCATTTTCAAATTCTTGTTGCCACATAGCATTTATATCAATATCTCTGTATAACTTGTGGTTCTGTTTAAGGTAGCATAGTGCTTTCTCTACTGCAGAAGGTCTAATCATCTGATATTGGACATGTCCAGTGTATTTCATTTTTCTTTTCAGTTTCAGTGGAATGAATCCCATATCTGATGTTGATGACCTTGGCAATGAAGCACATGTTTGGGTGACATCAACAGGGACATTGACAACTGATCCAATAACCGCCTTCTGTTTTCCGCTTGGTAAATTAAGTAGTTTCATAAATGGTATTCTCTTTGCTATCAATCTAGCCTCCAGTTCTGAAAGGCATTCTAATTCTGGAGGAAGAGGTTTGACTTGAAGTTTGTTAACTGATGCCATAGCTGGAATGTGCCCCTGTTGTAAAGATCTATGACATGTTTTACAAATCGTGTCCTCACCTGTCAAACATTGAATTAATATTTCTTTTGTGCACTTCAAGTAATTACATGACATCACATGTTGAACAGATTGCTTATAAAGCAGTCTGTGACAGCATGTACATGTGTAGGTTGGTCCATCTTGAATGGCTTTCTGAAACTCTTTCAAAATGTTTGAGAATACTTCACGTTGATGCTGTCTTTTCAGATTTTTACAAATTTTATCCTTTTGTCTATCCAATGAAATTTTTTCATGTGTTCGTTTCGATCTGATTTCCTTTTGTAAACTGGTGTTCAATTCTCTGTCTGCTTTCACTTGAGCTGGAGTTCTCTTTGATCTGATTTTCTGTTGAAGTTTCGTGTTCACTTCCTTGTCTGCCTCCTTTTGAGCTGGAGTTCTCTTTGATCTGATTTTCTGCTGAAGTTTCCTGCTCACTTTCTTGTCTGCCTCCTTTTGAGCTGGAGTTCTCTTTGATCTGATTTTCTGTTGAAGTTTCCTGTTCACTTTCTTGTCTGTGTCCTTTTGAGCTGGAGTTCTCTTTGATCTGATTTTCTGTTGAAGTTTCGTGTTCACTTCCTTGTCTGCCTTCTTTTGAGCTGGAGTTCTCTTTGATCTGATTTTCTGTTGAAGTTTCCTGTTCCCTTCCTTGTCTGTGTCCTTTTGAGCTGGAGTTCTCTTTGATCTGATTTTCTGTTGAAGTTTCCTGTTCACTTCCTTGTCTGCCTTCTTTTGAGCTGGAGTTCTCTTTGATCTGATTTTCTGTTGAAGTTTCCTGTTCACTTCCTTGTCTGTGTCCTTTTGAGCTGGAGTTCTCTTTGATCTGATTTTCTGTTGAAGTTTCCTGTTCACTTCCTTGTCTGCCTACACTTGAGCTGGGGTCCTTTTTAATCGTCTGTTTTGTTTTGATAATGCTTCTTTTTTCTTATTTTCAAATTTGTTTAGTAATCTCAATTCACGTTGTAGAACTTTGTTTCTCTCCCTGTCTGCAGCGATTTGATCAGGAGTTCTTTTTGATCTCCACCTTGCTTTACTTAGTGTACTGTTTATCGTTTTTTATTAATATTACCTGCTTGAAGATTGACAGTTGTTTGAACATTGGAAAGTCTTTTTTTTTTTCTCCTCTATTAGGCTGATTTGATTTTGTATTTCTTTCTCTAACTGAGAAAATAGCTTTTCTTGGTTCATGTCTAAATTGGGTTGATTTTTATGTGTTGATTTATAAGTATCAGCTGCTGTATTTGTTGTATTTGGTAAAATTTTGGTATATTGTTGCTGTAATTTTAATTTTTTCACTTCCTTATGATCATCGTTAGCATTCTCAGTGCTTTTCCTTTTCAAGCCAAGATCTACTGGTGATATCTGTTAATAAGACATAAAATTTTCTTGAGAGAAATGATTATTTAAACAATTGTTGTGTTATTTTTGAATGGTGTTATTTAATAAGTTAACATCAACCACTTTACCTTATCTTGTGAGTTGTGATCTGTTGGTTGTTCTGAACTGCTAGGCAGTTTGGTCTCATTGCTGGGCAATCTGATAAAAATAATACATGTAATTTGTTAAGTCAACAATAAGAATATGAAAATTAGATTCAAAGTATTGTTATTATAGACATGAAAATGAAAAACATTATAAAACTATGCATTATAAGGGAAAAAATAAAAGTCCTCTATAGTATTAATTATTACATTGAATATATATAATTGAATATCCAAATGATATACACATTATTTTTCTTAACTCTGAATGACCTGATGTTTTCACGAATGAAAATTCATGGAGATATCATGTGTAAAGTGAATACAATTTGTATAAAGAAAAAGTATGTGTGTGTTGGTGTGTTGGGGGGGGGGGGGGGTTCTTACCTGGATTTGACTTTAATTAATTTGATTTGTTCTTTTCTGTATCTGTACCCTTTGTTTTCTTTTCTAGGCATCTTGAACTACAAAATTTAAAACAAAACTGTATCTGTATCCTTTGTTTTGTTTCCTTGGCATCATGAACCACTAAATAAAAAAAATTCTTTTCAAATGATACATGATGTAATCTAAGCATCATTGTAACAGTATGTCAATGACTTTTTATTTAATTCTTTTCATCACTGTAACGTAATGTCAATGAAATTTATTAAAACTCTTACTACTTATGAAGCAATCATGCCAAAAGTATTGCATAAGCAATATATGTCATCTATTGGTACCTCCAATTTTTAAAACAATTTTATTGTCGTTTTATGTGCTAAATAGGTGATATTATAGTTCTAGAGTAAATTTGGTAAAAGATTTATTTGTACAGGACAAACCCAGTAAGAAAGAAATAAGAAAGCAATTGTTTAAAATTATTTTTTCCATCTTATGTGGGTGAAAATAATCCTGACAATTTGATGATAGTAGGGTGAGCAGTGTAAGTATCAGGCATGGTCCATTTGGGAATACATATGTATCAATACACTGTGTTTGCAATAATAAGATCATAAATCTGAGAGATTTCAAAAATTAATAACTTTACCACTTGATAATTACTAGAGGCCCATGGGCCACAACAGTGACCTGAGTAACTTTGGCTCTGCTGTTCTTCACCAGATTTTCCCCTTGCAATACTTATTGTGGCCCCACCCTACCCCGGGGAGTCATAATTTCAACAATTAGAATCTGCTCTACCTCAGGAAGCTTCCATATAAATTTCAGCTTTTCTGGCCCAGTGGTCATTGTGAAGAGGATTTATAAAGATTTTTCCTATATATTTCAATGTAAAACTTTGATTCCTTATTGTGGCCTCACCCTACCCAAGGGGGGGGGGGGGGGGGCTATGATTTGAATAATTTAGAATCTACACTACCTCGGGAAGCTTCCATATAAGTTTCAGCTTTTCTGGGCCAGTGGTTCCTGAGAAGATTTTTTTAATGACCCCACCCTATTTTTGTCTTTTCTTGATTATTTCTCCTTGGAAGGGGGCTTGGCCCTTCATTTTAACAATTTTAATTCCCTTTCACCAAAGGCTTCTTTGTACTAACTTTGGTTAAAATTGTCGCAATGGTTCTTGAGAAGAAGTTGAAAATCTGAAGAAAAGTTTACAGAAAGACGGGCAGATGACAGACAATGGGTGATCAGAAAAGCTTTTAGCTCGGTGAGCTAAAACATCAAACTTGATGAGTGATAATTGCCGTGTTTGATAGAAAGGTACAGAAGGATCTGCACAGTAAGTTCCCATGTTCTCTTTAACTTTGTGCGCAAAGCTCAGTGGTTATAGTTGTTTAGCCAGTAAATAATAAGTCCCATGTTCAAACTGTACTGTGGACACTTGATGGTGTGTGTTGTGTTCTTAGAGAAGGCACTTTATCTGCATTGTCTCAATCCAAAGTTGAAGTACCAATAATGTTTAAACAGTGATGGGAAATCGGGATTTTTACCTACTCCATTATCGAATATAATTGAAAGTGTACAATTGATTAAAGAGAACTTTTTCATAACATAAATCTAAATCATCTTTTCCTAAACAAGATCTCAGTTTGTTTCAAAAAATTTATTGATATTTTTTTCAAAAACAACTTGATATGTCTCAATTGTCCTTCTTTGCTGGCCCCTCATTTTTATTTATTATTATGAAGCTACACAGAGTGGATCTGGTAAACCATAATAAAAAAAATCTGAAAGTGTCCAAATGAATGATATTAAAACTCCAATTAAAACTATAGTCTGACTTCAAAAAATAAATTTAAAAAATCATAACATCACAACAAACATGTATGTTAATTATACAATAATTATTTCAATTTTTTTTTTTAACTAGCTTTCTGCCTTATGCTTTAAAATAAAATATCTCTGTTTGCAAAAAAAGAATCTTCTTGTTCGAGAAAAAGCAAATAATTATAGTAATTATATGTATGGATATATATATTTATATAGTAATTTTACAAATGATTGGAAGAAATAATTTTAGGAAAAGAAGAATTTTAAATTAAATTTTAAAATGTTCAGATTTCGTTTATGTAATTAATTGTCATTAATGAGAATCTGAGAGGAAGGGTTCTCTTGGGTAGAGGTCCATGGCATCTCTGCTTTGCTTGTTTTAGGTTGGGCTGGCAAGTCTTGAGATTCTTGGGATCCTATATTGTGTGAAGAGATTGATGAATCTGATGGTTCATCAGGAGCAAAATCCTCATCAAATGATATGAAACTCTTATAGTTCTCAATTTTGCACTGTAAATCTGCAATATGTCTTGATTGGTAGGCCTCTCTTTTTTCTAGTCCATTAACTTTCTGGTTAAGGGCAGAAATTTCCATGTTAATCTCATTTAATTTTATTATATATTTTGAATTGCTTGCTTTCATTAACCTCCTCACTTTTTCTAGCATTCGCGTGGCTTGTGTTATGTCCCTTTTTCCCAAATGATATAAGCATGATGTAATCTGTGTGTCAAGGTCATCTCCTGTGGATGTTATCAAGTCTGTTAAATTATCCACACGTCGCTTCTTAGCAGGGTTTGGAGATGCCATTTTAGCAGGGCTTGTCATTTTAGATGGTCTTGGGGATGCCATTTCCGTATCTTGTAATTTATAAGATGCAATAATTTCTCTGAAAAAGTTCTCCTGTTGTGGAAATTGTGAAAATGACATGAAAAAGTTCTCCTGTTGTGGAAATTGTGAAAATGACAGGGGTTTTTTTTTTATGAATGCATTTTTTAATACACTACAGTAGTAAATGTGTATGTCATTTCAAGGAGTTGACTAAAATAATATAAATAAAATCAATACGAAGTGAATTTTTTTTTCCATTTTCAGAAAACATAGCAATTTGATTTTTGACCATTCATTTAGAAGTTATAAATTTACTTAAAGATAAATGCATAAGACTAAGTTTAATTTGTTAGTTTAAAAGTTTAGAAAGGTTACATAAACACATTTTAGTCTGATTGTAAAAAAAAAATTCAATATTTTGTATATAGATTCACGGTGAAAACTCTGCCTCTCATCAAAAATTGATGTAGAAATCATGTGGATCCAAATGAAAAGGACGGAAAAAAATAAGGTTAATGCTTATCCATTTCCTATCTTTCTTTTTGATGAAATGTGGTTAAAGGATTGATAAATAAAAAAGAAAACACTCCATGAAACAGATGTGCACATGTTATCAAGTATATATTTGAAAATCTACAACAATTTATACGGCTATTTTTAATGAAAGATAAAACAGAGGAAATTTGGGTTACTAGTTCGCATTGTTTAATCATGTTAATGAATGCATTGAAGCATACGACATTTTTAAGGACTAAACAAAGTAGATATGTATATGACTTAAACTTAACTACATAAGCTAAATCTAGACATATATCAGAATTTGATTTGCTTACTTACCAAGTTACTTTCCTCACTGAAGCTTTCCAGACTGATTTCCGGTGCGTTCTTCTTGGTTAACTCATTCCTCAATGATTTCGATTTGTTTATGAGTGGTCTATGTCCAGCGTGTGACAATTTACACATTTAAATAATTGATGGAAACAAAATTATGATGCAGTCATATAAATTTGATTATATATTGAACTTATGAAATTATTTATTTAAGACAAAGCATTAATTTGATGGGGGGGGGGGGGACAGTTTCTTTGAATAATAGCCAAAACTCTTATGGAAAAAATAATGGAATCTGAATTTCCTGGCAATATGCACAACTACACACTATGTCCTAAATATCTGCATAGCTTGACGTAACTATGTACGACGGTTTAAGAGGAGTTGTGCTGACAAACTGTTCATCTCTATATTCAAGATATGGCCAAAAATCTAAGTTGAAAAGTGCCGAAATTCCCAGAAAAATAATGGAATCGGAATTTCCTGGTAATATGCACATCTACACACTGTGTCCTAAATATCTGCAAAGTTTGACCAAATTCTGTGCAGTGGTTTAAGAGGAGTTGCACTGACAAACTGTTCATCTCTACATTCAAGATATGGCCAAAAATCTAAGTTGAAAAGTGCCGAAATTCCCAGAAAAATAATGGAATCCGAATTTCCTGGTAATATGCATGTCTACACATTGCGTCCTAAATATCTGCAAAGTTTGGCGAAATTCTGTGCAGCGGTTTAAGAGGAGTTGCGCTGACAAACTGTTCATCTCTATATTCAAGATATGGCCAAAAATCTAAGTTGAAAAGAGCCGAAATTTCCAGAAAAAATAAAGGAATCGGAATTTCCTGGTAATATGCACATCTACACATTGTGTCCTAAATATCTGCAGAGTTTGACGAAATTCTGTGCGGCGGTTTATGAGGAGTTGCGCTGACAAAAAAACAGGACTGACGGACTGACTGACTGACTGACACACTGACTGACTGACTGACTGACGGACGGGTCAAAAACATTATACCTCACGCAACTTGTTGCGTGGGGTATAATAATCATGGCTTTGCTGTTTTGGAAAAGATTTTTATAGATTCTTCCTATTTATTCCTATGAAAAACGTTGATTGCTCATTATGGCCCCTCCCCTCCCATGGGGGTTCTTGATTTGAACACTATCTGAGGATGCTTCTATATCGATATGACTTTTCATGGCATTGCTGTTCTTGAGAAGAAAATTTTTAAATATTTATCCTATGTAAAACTTTGATCGGCCATTGTGGCTCAACCCTATCCCGAAGGGTCATGATTTGAACAAACTTAAATCAAACACTACCCAAGCATGCTTCCATATCAATATGACTTATCATGGCTTTGCTGTTCTTGATGGAAAGAATTTTACAGATTGTTTTCTATTTATTCTTATGTAAAATTTTGATCCTTAATTGAACAAACTTGAACCTACACTATGTAAGGAAGGTTCCATATAAGTTTCAAGTTTTTTGGCCCAGTGGTTCTTGAGGAGAAGAATTTTTTAAAAGATGTCACCAAATTTTCACTTATTCTTAATTATCTCCCCTTGAAAGTGGACATCATCTTTC